TACTAGCGATGCACTTGTTACTACTAGCGATGCACTTGTTACTACTAACTTCTTGTTATTAGATTTGTTTCAACGAAATCGATTTGTTTCTTTCGCGTTCACGGTCGTTTCCACAGCCAGGCTCAAATTGCGTGGCTTCCACTTCGATTGGGTGTTTGTTCTGCTGCAAGGCCAAGAATCGAAGAGAAAGACCTGGATACGTGCTCTTTCTCTAAGAGACGTCTTTCTAGACGTTTTTTTCTCTTTCAGGGATGCAATGCTGAGAAAGTCCGGCCCATCTCCGAGAGAAACAACGAAGACGTGAGTTGAGTCGAGTCGAGTCGAGTTTCGAGGAATGCCTTCACCTTCATTCCACCTCCACCCTCTTACACCGTGGAGAACGAGGCGTCAAACGAACCGAAGGTTTAAAAAACGACACGATCCAGAGATCCGTTTTTGTGTCAAGTCGATCGTTCAATTCTGAATTTTCATAGAATTCTAGAAATTCAATTCTACTTCAAAGGACGCGACTAGGGGTTCCTGGCATCACTATACTAGGAGCAAGGGCCTTACTACTAGGAAGCTAGTAGAAACAATAAGCTACTAGGAACAAGTGCATCGCTACTAGTAACTTAGTAGCGAATTAGGAATTAGGAATTTAATTTTGCTTCAATTCCGGTTTTTCGAGGACGAAATGCATTACCTCATGGAGGACGAAACGAGAACGAGACGTCGCTCGAGTTCACAGAGTAGCGTCCTTTGCCTGTTCCAACCGTTCGATGAAAAACACTTCCTTTCGTAGCGTCCTTGTTACTAATGCCTAGTAGCATCTAGTAGCATCTAGTAGCAATTAATGCCAATGAAGGCTTTGAAGTTTTCCAAAGTGTTTTTGCATGTTCTGTTTTCTCAATCCGTTCACAACCGTTGGGTTCTCTCTTGTCCGGACCCCCCCCTCTGCGGCGCTGTCCGCTCTTCCTTTCTTCCTTCGCCTTGTCCCATTGTGTTGCGCGTTGTGCGTTTCAAAAATATCGAGTTTTGCTCATTGGGAGTCTATAGTAGCTTCTTGCTAGTAGAAGTAGGGCGCCTTGTTACTAGGAGCTTCTTGTCCCTACTAGTAATGCCAGGAGCTACTAGTAGCTTCTTGCTACTGGTAAGGCACCTTGCTACTTGCGTCCTTGCTCGTAGCGATGCATGCACCTTGCTATTCTTTCGAAAGATGGATGCTACTTTTCTGCGTGAACCTGGAACGGTGCCGCTGAACGGTGCCGCTGGGGGCAACTACGACGCTGCCTAATGGAGCCGAAAGAAGCGTTCCCTTGTGCATCCACGAAGAACCCACCTCGATTTGGTTAGCGACTGTAGGCTCACTCTGGTTGTGTGAATACGCTCGACTCTCCGTCAAAATCGCCGCACTCTTCACTGCCGGTATCACTGCCATTCTGATCTTGTTCTTTGTAGCGCGACCTAAGGGCTTGGAAATTGACAGCCTACGGCCTACGGCCTGCGCCTACAGCCTGCTGTTCGTTTTCTGTGTTCGAAAAAGAAGAACAGCCATGGCGGCATGGCGGCATGGCCCCAAGGCATGGTAGAGGATGCTACTAGGAGCAAAGGGCATCGTTACTAGGAGCAAGGACGCTACTAGGGGCTCCTGGCCTTACTACTAGGAACAAGAAGCTACTAGGTTCGGTATGGCGTGGAGGATACGTGCGCACCCTGATGCAGTGCCGCTACCCGCTTGGATTAGAAACCGCGCGCGCAAAAGGCACAGCGGGGTCACAAGCAACACAACGACCGCGTCGAAGATTGAGATCTGTGAGATTGCCATGAAACACGCGAGGCCGAACTGTGGCGTTCAGATGTTGAACGGATCTGAACCGGAAAGCTGGTCGCTCGCGCTTTACTGGCGACGTTTTACATATCGCAACAAGTCCAACGCATCCGTTAAAGACTCGCCAGCGTTAAAGACAAGAATTACATCACCGTAGACCCCAAACAGGTGGGACAACAACGAAGCAGCATTCCCAAGTCCACTTTTTAAGGCATCAACAAGAAGGGCGACAAGACCGGAGACAAAATGAAACAGAAGCAAGACAAGGCGGACACAATGACCACCAAGAAGGGAGACAAGAACGAAAACAAGAAGGGAGAACAAGAAGGGAGACAAAAGGAAAGAGACAAGGCGCACGCAGTGACCAACAAGAAAGAAAAACAAGCCGGATGCAAGGCGGACATTCTTAGAAAGCTTTGAGAACCCCTAACAGTAGCCTGTTTGGGGAAGTGCACAGATTACCTGGGAGAAATGTTGGAAAGGGGAAAAGGACGGATGCCAGCAGTGCAGGCACCGAACCTGGGAAACAAAAGTCAACAAATCACTTTTGAGACAAAAGAATTGAAACGCTGACTCTGCGGACACCAGCAGTGACAGAAAGGGCGGACACATCTTAAGAAAGAATTGAGAACTCCTAACAGTAAACGGTTTGGGGAATGAAAAGACATGCTGCATTGCCAGCGGAAAAGGGCGGACACCACCGGCGACAGACCTGGGAGACACATGAATAGTAATGTCACCAAATTAAAGTTGACCCCTCAGATGGGCACCCTTCGAGGTCACTCTGGCTAGTCATTTTTTGCAATTTTTGAAATTGTTTTGATCATAGTGAATAATTCTTTAAGCATCACAAATATAACTTTACAAGGATTAGGAATTATTCAAATAAGAGTAAAATGACGCAAATATGATTAAACATGAGTTTGAAAAATTCACCAACGAGTAAAAGTATGAGTGAACCAAAAAGTGTTTTCACGAGTGAAGCCACGAGTGAAGTTGCAGTGAACTTGCAGACAAAATGAAAGTTCAACGTAGCCTTTTACGATAAGTTGACAAGTCTAGAAACAAGTCAACGTACAAAACACAATGAAATAAGTACTAAGGACAAACGGTTCCTTTACGATAATCGTTCCTGGCCTCGTTGAAAGTTCTTGAACTAACTAACTAGTAAGTTTTGGCTGAAGAGCTCTGTGCTGGCAGGGGTTGTGACAAAGTAAAGTTTTTGCAACTAGTGAAGTATTGGCTCAAGGCATTGAAAAGTATTTGTTGAAAGTAGTCAAGCTTTAACTGTGCTGGCAGGGATTGTAAAATTATTGAATCTAGTCAAGTTTTTTTCCACAGAGCACTGTGCTGAAAGTAAGTTTATTGAAACTTTAACTAGACAGTTTTTGGCTGAAGAGCACTGTGCTGGCAGGGATGCCAACCCTTGCAAACAACATCAAACTCAGTCAAACATGGAGCAGGGCGCGATTTTTAGTCTAGGCTAAAATTGAACAATACGTGACAAGACATTCAGCACAATCAGCATCAACCTCATCAAACAAGTCATGGTCATCCACTATTGATCTTCATGATGATTCTCCTGGCTGGAACGAACGAAGTGCACTGCTATTCAGTTTACTGTGCTGCAAGTCTGAGTCCCATGACATGGAATCATAGCAATCAAAACATGACTGAAACTATCAAGGACTATCACAGGTCGCAAACACCCCTTTTTTTTGCCAACTTGCCCCACAACTGCGAACAACCTAAATCAGAATTAATTCAGCAAAGCAGACATGGAACTTGTGCCCAGTCTCCATCACAAAAACATGTCTGCTATTTTGACATCCAAATGAAGAGTTTGGCACAGCGCCCTTCAGCTTCGACTCTGATTAGTCACTGCTTCACTGACTCCAAAGAACATGCGAAAGGCTTCTCTATCAATCTTTCCAAGCTCACGCAATTGAGAGAACAGGCGTCTGGTCCGGACTCTTTCAACGCCAGGGTTTGACTCACTGCCCCAATGTGATGATGACATATCGGAATCATCGGAATTTCAAGAAATGCAGCATTTAGAGTCAGAGTCATCATCATCATGATCATCATCATCAGACAACTGCACTTTGCCAACAGCACTCGCTTCATCAAATAATCCTTCATTGTAAACGATGTTGGTGGAACAGGAATTGAAGAAGTGAATCACCACCATGGTGATTGCAAAAGCCACACTAAATATCACCATGATTGCCATGGCTTCCATCGTAAACAGCACGTTTGATTGAACAAGTTAGAACGCTCAACTTGGCTGCTAAGATCAAATTACCATCAAAACATACACCTTGCAAAAGGATAAATCAAATGCGAATCAGTGCAGGAGCTCAACACATACTAAGGACAAGTTTGAACGCTCAACTTGACTGCTAAGATCAAAACAACGTCAAAACGTGCGCCTTGCAAAATGATAAACCAAATGCAAATCTTTAAGCACAGTGCAGTAGCTCAGCACATACCTTTTTTCACTTACAGCCACATTTCTTGTGTTTGCAGATCCAATCCAACGCGCCCTCCTCAACCTTGTAGGGCAAGCGTGTTGCCCAGTCACCTGAACTCATCATGAAACCATATTCATAAGACAATCAGTGAAAAAGAGAAACATCTCAGTACCTCAAAGACAACTTGCTTGTGAAGCCAAGGCACCTCCAACTTCCTTGGCATGGACCCTGTAATAGTAAGTTGCTTTGTCTCGGGAACCAGGGCTTGGATCCTTTTTGAACTGACCAACAACTTTGCCACATTTCTCAACATTTCACTGTCTCCCATTGAATGACTCCTTTCTTTGGTTGAATTGGCCCACGGTGGCTGGGGGCCACTGTTGTTGCTTCAGAACCTTCAGTCTGAGTCTTTCGCCTTGCTTCCTTCAGCTCGGGAGCCTCACTGCTGAGCTTTGGAGCGGGTCTTTGAGTTGATGATGATGAAACATGCCATTCAGGCTCTTCAAGGTCAAGACTTTGAAGTTCATACAAAGAAGCATCATCATCCATATTATGACCGATCGACTTCGTCTTAGACAACTTCTGCTTTTTGGCCGGCGGCCCCGGCAGCTGGTTGGGGTCAGGCACTGCCCCCTTCTGTTCATCAGCAGCGGGCACAGTGCCCTCCGGCCAAGGCTGATCTCCAGCAAAGGCTGATGAGCAGTCAATTGCGATGGCAGATCGGCAGGCACTGTGCTGGCGTGCGACGGCTCAGCAGCAGGTGCTTCCGCTGCAGGGACAATTTGCAAGTCACCATCAATTGCAAGTCGTCTGGCTCTTTTTGCAAATTCTCTGCGCCGCTGAGCTTCTTGTTTTTCTTTCTTTTTTTGACAAGGGCACAGGCTTTCTCTTGGAGCCTTTCTGATTCTTGTCTGACTTTGTCGCCAGCTTTCTTTTCTTGGGTTCATGCTTAGCCCTAGCTTCTACTATCTGATCGTGAAGCATGGCTGATCTTTCCTTGATTCTGCGCTTGGCATCTTCTCTCACCTGATTAAACTCTTTCTTTTGTTCTTCATCAATATATTCCAGGACATCTTAGTCAACATCATTTCCCAGGTCAGACTTGAATAAGTTTTTATTGGGCTGAGCTGCTTCGTTCTGCTTCGATGACCAAACCTGGTGGACCAGGTCCTTAAAAGCGTGGTCATTGGGGTGGATCTGGTTGGGCCAACTTGGTCATGATCTCCTTGATTGTGTCGTTCTTCTTCAAGCCAGTTACCCCATGTTTCACAGCCAGCTGCTCCAGCAACTTCTTCTGCCATGATCCACAATACCTGACAATCAAGAAAGAGCGAGTTGTACATTTATGCAGTATGTTAACTGAATGAATAAATAGGTTGCCAGGATACATTCGGTCCTTCAGCATAACAC